CAAACAATAGTATGACTTTTACGAGGTACATTCTTGATCCTCAGTTTCCTCCCAAATCTGTTGTTTGGTGATAAAACATAACATTTACCAAGGCATGGCAAGTATCCCCCTCATCCCTAGACACTGGTTCTCAATCTCAGCCCTAGAGTCACTCTGGAAGCTTACTAAGAATGTCGATACCTAGGTTCCATCCCTGGAGGTCCAAGGTGAGCCCCAAATTTGCATGTTTACAAGTCCCATGATGAAGCTGGTGCAGCGGTCCACGACACACACTCAAAGAACTACCAGCACAGCCCTTGTGGTTTGCTCCCTTCCCCTTTTGTAAGACATGTCTGCAAATTCTTTCTCAGTGGAATTTGGAAAAATTGAGAATCACTGGTGACAGAACACTTGATCAGCCCTGTTGGGGTTCCCTTGGAACATACGATAAGGAATGTGGCTCATCCCAGAAGAGACCCACCCAAGTGGCCAGTCTGTGGCACTGGCCATCAGTGTTTATAGGCTGGCAGCTTGTCTTCCCTGCACTGTGCTCGTGAAGCTTGTGAGTCTAGGCCATATGTCAACTGGGTAATGCTGCAGGAGTCCTCCAGGGTGGGAACCTCCCCCACTTTCCTCCAGGCCTGGGAGCAGCTGACAGTGCCAGGACAGGGGAGCTGCAGACAGGGAGGTGCCCAGTGGGGAGGACTCACGGCTTGGTCCACGGATCTTGATGGGCTTACTGCTGGTCATGGACTGAGAGCAAGTCTGGCAAACACATTCTTTACCACTGAAGGTCACCTTGTCTCCAATAGGGAAAGGCTTCCTGCAAGGCGGATGAGGGGGAAAGTCAATACCTACTTTTTCAAGGGATTCCATGGCTGTTGGTGACCTGACAACACAAGTTTTTCCCTCTTCCTGGAAGGACTTTTCTCATTCCAGCCTGACCTATCCCTGTATGTGAAGAACTCATTCAACTCCCAAACTTACCAAAATATCTTCCTTTCACTATCCAGACATTTCTCAGAACACCCATCCCAAGAGGAAGTTTACAAGTCCACAAATAACCTCTTCCTCTCCTTCTCTGTACTTGTGCAGTTTCCACTGCTCAAGGGTCTCGAGCTTGTACATGTCCTGCCTCCCCAGCTAAATGGTAAAACTGTATACAGAATCCCAGCACTGCCAATCCCACTCTTTAGTGCTTGCTTATGCAGTGGGGACACCTATTAATGGACTCTGAGCATAACCCCTGACACAGGCTTCTTGTATTAACAATGTGGGCCAATGTGGGAATGCTGGGGAGGGTCAGGAGAGCCATGTTCACATCAAGGCCCAGCCACTAACTCATGGTAAGAAGACATGGCGTGACCTTGGGGAGTCACCTCATTTCTATGGGGCTTGACAAAAACATCACCTTGTACCATATGGACGCTCTGTGCTAACCTCCAAAAGTCTGGGATTTCAGAACCCAGGGCTCAGGTTTTAAGAGATGGATAAATGAATGAGCTCCACTGGGTGATTATGTTTCCTTATATACTCTCTCATTTAGTCTCAATCAGAAACTCTAGTCAATTACTTTAACTGGTAACTAACTGGTGATAATTTTATGAGAAGAATTAATCTATAAAGTCCTTTCCCAAATAAAAACTACACATATTCTCTAATCATGCTTTACTTATGACTTAACCAGGGCTGTCCATTAAATTTTAATGTATTTGTGGGCAGGGCTGAGGTTTTTTTCTTTTTTTCATCACCTTAATGTGGTGCTTGGCATACAGTGGACCCTTAATGTACATTTGCTAAATTAACAAGTGATTGAGAAGCTGGGGGTGGGAAGGGGGCAGGGACCAGCTCTCCATCTCTGGAGATGTCTTGAGAGAGGTTAAATGACTATGATTATGATAATTAAAGGAATAATAAAAACAGACACACCTACATACCAGTTACTGAGGTAAGGTCTTTGCACATACCATCTCATTGTTTTTCATGAAAATCCAATGAGGTTGGAATGGTTTTGACTCTCATTTCACTGACGGAGAAACTGAGGCTTACAGAGGCAGGGCCACTTCCCAGAGTTGCTCTGCCATCATGAGGTGGTGCTGTGATGGTGGAAAAAGTCTACAAGCAGACATCCCGGCACCACCTGTGGGTGAGCTGTAGGAACCCGGGCTAGATCTGTGGTTTCCAAACTAAGTTCTGAGATACCGGGGTACTCAGTGGTTCCTCTGGGGAACTTTCAATGGGAAATGGGAAGCTGAGTGTGGTAGCTCGGAACCTCAACCTGCACAAGATAAACTAGTGTTTTATATTAGATCACATTTGATAAAAAGGATTCAGCTGCTAAAGGGTTTGAAACCCACTGGCCCATCAGATCTTTCCACCCCTGAGATTCTAGAAATCCAAGTTTCCAGCTTAAGTCCTGTAAACCCCCAAACTGCCATGTCTTCCTTTTTCTGGGGGCTCATGCAGAGGGTCCTAGGCCCTGTTGGCCACCTGCTCACCTGCACAAGCTGCACACGAAGCAATTGGGGTGGTAGGTGCGGCCCAGGGCGGAGATGACCTCGCCTGTGATGAAGTCCCGGCAGCTGTCGCAGCGGGTGCCGTAGAGTTGCTGGTAGTCGTGGGTGCAGATGTACTCCTGGTTCTTGAAGAAAAAGCCTGCCTGTGCCAGGCCACAGCCACATACTTGGGGAAACAAGGAGGGAAACAAGGACAGGTTGAGTCCAGGGAGGGTCTGCAAGC